ACGAATAACGATGGGCGTAAGGTGCGCGGCGAGGGTGGTGTACCTTTGATGAGGATGAGGGTGTCCTTGATCTGCGTGTCGAGGGCGGAGACGAACTCGGTCTTGAGGGTGCTGTTGGCGTAGGCCGTGAAGCGGAGGTACCCATACGCCTCGTTGTACACTGCAGCGCTCCACGGCGGTTGCGGATCCTGCACGTACGAGTACCAAGCAACACCATCAGTTCTTCTTCTTCTTCTTTTTCTTCTTCTTCGGGGCGAGGGAGAGCTAAAGCGAAAACGAAAGCGGTGCGTACCCAGAGGGACCCGAGTTCGATGCCGCCGGTGCCGGCGCGAAGGTAGATGGGCGGCATCTGTTCGGCGCACGATTTGACGTAGACGCCCTCACTCTTCTCCACCCGATGCGGCCGCGCCTTCACCACCGGATGCGTTCGCTCGCTAGTCGTCGTCGTCGTAAGAAGAACGAAAAAGAACGAAAAGCGAATAAAAGAACGAAGAAACGGGCGAGCGAAGTGCGTACTAGTTGTGGTCGTGTCCATGTACCACCAGGTCTACGCCGTGCTTGTTGAAGAGCGGTTCGAGCTCGTGTCGCAGGTGCAGTATGCTGCCCTGCGACACGCTCGAGCTGTACATGTTTCTGTGCACCAGGGCCACCAGCCACCACGCCGAGTTCCTGCAGATCGAGAACACACGTGGAGCTCGCCTTGATGAGCGCCAGGCTCTGAAGAGGGAGGAGTAGAACCGACATACCATTCCTTCTCGGTCTCGTCGTCGGCCGGTGGCGCTTCTGCGGATCCTGGGGCCTTGCGCCCTCGCCTGTGGGTGCTTCGCATCCAAGCGTTCCTCGCCCGATTGAACTCGGTCAAATGAGCGTCTGTGTGACGAACATGGTGAGAAAGCCAACGAAAAGGAAAACGAAACAACAAATGAAGAACGAGAAGAAGGAGAAGGAGAAGGATGATGATGGGTACCCAGCCACGTGTACTGCTCGCTGCCTCGGGTGTAGTTGTGGTCGGACGAGACGGAGACGAAGTGGATCGACGAGTAGTCGAACCAGTACCAGAAACTGTTGCCCGGCATGAAGAAGCGGTGCGCATACGGCACGAAATGGAAGTCAAACCTGTTTGCGTAGGGTCCCGTCAGGCCTGGTGCACGTGTCGTGTAGCGTTGTGTGTCGTTGTGTGTCGTTGTGTGTCATGGCGTGTGGCTTACTTGTAGGTCTCGTGGTTGCCGGGGACGGCCATGTAGGGCTTGAACGCCGCGAGAGGCTCCACCATGCGAAACCACATGTCCCACGCCATCTGCTTGTCCGCCGCGTAGAGCTCGCTGTCCACCGTCCACTGGCCACCTTTGAATCACACGCGTTCAAAATACACACTATCAGTTTTCCGTGTGCGGCGTGCGTGTGCCGTGCGTGTGCCGTGCGTGTGCCGTGCGTGTGCCGTGCGTGTGCCGTGCGTGCCGTATGCAGTCACCTTTCTGCAGAGAGTAGGCAAAGTCGCCGACGTGGACGACGGCGTCGATGGAGTGATCGTCGCGGATGCGGTTGATCACCTGCCGGCCGTTGTGCGAGATGCCGTTGTCCCCGAACACGGCCAGAGTCGCCAGCACGTCGGCGGGGGCCGCGACCGAGGGGGCCTCCTCTACCGCGCGGGTGGCCACCCCGCGGGCCGGCGGGGCATTGATGAACGACGACGACATCGACGACGAGGCGAAGTAGGAGGAGAACGACGAGGCCAGCGACGACGAAGTCGACGAAGAGGAGTCGATCCCTCGCGTGTGGGCCGATGAGGATGAAGAGGAGGAGGAGGAGGAGAGCAGGAAGGGCGGCAGCGGCGGGGAGGTGAAGTGGAACTCCTCGCTCCATTCGTCGCTTAGCAAGTTGCCCACTCGGTAGTAGTACCGCGTGGAGGGCCTGCGTGTGCGCACACACCACA